CAGCTGTTCTGCCCCAGCAAACATGTAGTTTGTAAACTATATGTATGTATTGTGACGGTGATCATTGTAGAAAAGAAATGCAGTTTCCTAAGTGCCACACTAGAGTGCAGGAGGAAGGCTACAGCACGCTGGCACAGCTGTGGAGATGATGCAGTGATCCCCAGGCCTGGAGTACATCATGGCATATCTACCGATACTGAGAGTGGTCTGCATTTCCCTGTACTACAGCACCCCAGTGTGGCCAGGCACTCGGGTTGAGAATCACCCACGCCAAGTAAAGCTGAAACCAGCGTTGGTAATTAATCAGGAGCCCTGAGTGGAGCCCATGCTGTCCGGCCCTCACCTTGTCCCTACTGTCTCTTGCAGATGTATATCTGGACCCCAACGAAGGCCAGGTGAGGACTCTGCTCACACTGAGCTCTGTATTCCAGGACAAATTCATGGTCCCTCTCCTTTCCTGCTATTTCCGTATATCTTACACTTTTTCTTTCTTTCTCCAGTGTGCTTCTCTCCAGTCCCCTCTGCCTCACCTGTGTTTTCCCAGCTGGCTGGCTGTCTCAAGTTAAACAGCAGCTGCAGTGTGGTGGGGAGGTGATTGTGCCTCAGCACAGCCCTCTGAGTCCCGCTGGTGAAGCTTGTGTGAACCTAACGCAGCTGCTCAGCCTAATAGCTCTCAAGATTTAAAATCCAAATCTGAAATTTCGGTACAAAAACAAGAAAAGAGCTGCAGGCAGAAGAAGCCTTCTTATTGATCTCTATTCATTTTAAGTACAGGCACCTCCAAACGTATTGGTATCCATGATAAAGTTCAGCATAAAAGGCTGTATACAATAAAAAACACAGGTAATGAGTTATATTTTATACTAAAAAGTATTAAATGGAAACAGCGATTGCAGCCAAAGTGCGCCAGTACACTCCCCACCCACCAGCATTCAGTAGAGAGGAGAACAGAGTGATGAAGCCAGTTCATGGATGAGGATTATAAGGCCATGATTGGTAAAGACTAGGGAGAAAATACTACATTGTACTTTAATGCAATTTGTCAGAGAAAAAAGGTTTTTGTTCACAGGTCATAGACTTTTTTCTCAAAGAGATAGGTGTCAAAATTAAAAGATAATTTCATAAATTATAATTTGAGAAATGTGTGACTTTGGTTGATTCTGTTGAATCTTGGATAAAGTTCAATATATTCTCCATGTTGGAAAATGACAGTATAGTTCATCTATTCCGTCGCAAAGGCAATGATGCTGTAGCTGTTACAGCCTGTCCCTTCTGCCCTGAATCGACTCTCGGTTCTATCTGTGTTTCAGGATGACAATGACGACCTATATCTGGAGCCTGATGCAGGTCAGTCACACAAACAAGCAACCCGCACCTGATAACTCTCACTGACTTGACAGAGAGAAAGTTCTGTAGCTGTCGGCCTCAGAACCTACAATCAATTGTGGTATTTGTCGGAATCTTTGATTGGCTATGCCTTCAGTAGTGTTTTTGTGCTTGGCACTCAGTATACCCTGTTGCAAGCAAGCACTTTCAGATAATGTACGCTGTAAAGTGTCTATATAAGCTACAATGTCCATTGCTGTTTGCGTTTATCTAGTAGGCTCTTTGTTTCTAAAGTCTGTGAACTGTTGTATTCATGTTTTTGAATGTTTGTCTGATATTTTTATTTTAGGAGACGTATCACAGGAGAGGCAGAGAGGTGAGTTGACAAGCAGGTCCTTAATTTGTTTCCTGCATCCTACAGTACCAGTGAAATAATTATTATCATGATAACTGTTTGCCTTTGCATGGCTCTTTCTAACCCAGAGGATCTGACAGTGCTTTGCACATAGGAGAGAACCCAGCTGACTCAGATAACCTCAGTGAACTGGAACAGTCAGCCAGTATAAGTCAGAAATTACTTCACTGGTTTATTTCTTTTTAGCCTGTGGACCTTTAGGGAGTTTTATTTTTAACTAAACCAATTAGTCAAGATCTCAGTTTAAATTCTATTGTGAAGAATGGCACAATGTCTAACCCATTCTAATCCCGAGGGAAGAGCAAGACCTACTGCTTGACCAACATCACACACAGCAGCAAGCTGGATTTCTCGAAGGACCCCCTCCATCACGTAATAACTCAGCTTGCAATAAGCACAGCAACCAATACAGGCCACAGGCCGTAGTGCTCAATTTCAGATTCAAATTCATGGTTTTATTTTTTTTTTCTCTTTGGGATTCACACAATTGTTTTTCTTTTCGTACCACTCCAATTTGGGATAACGCCCCGTGCTTTTTAGCATCTAGTCCTTCCTTGACCCTCGTACTGGCCCAGAGTGTGTGCTTTGCTCTGAAACTCGTCATCCCTGCCTCCCCTGCTGCTTTTTTCATACTGGTGAGCACTCATTGGGGGAGCGTTGGGACTTGCGCCAACAGCACGGCAAGCCTGGCAAATCACAAGGCAAGCTTGTTTCTGTACTGCGCACCCAGACCCGGCCCTACCCTGACCCCAGCCCCTCTTCAGCCAGCTGTGCCTGCAATGAACAAGGGGTCCTAGGGGTCCATCAGCACAGCAGCCATCGGATGTGCTCTTTGAGATGGCGTTTGCCAGTTTACTTTGCTAGTGCTAATGATGCTAAGGACAACTGAGCTGACTTGTCTAGCCACAGACAGTGATAGCACACTCCCTGGGTATTTCATCAACATACGGTGCACAATACCAGTCAAGAGGGAGATTCGGAAATGAAACCTCTTAGTCAAGCCTGTTGTTATAACCTGTTAGTGTCTCTCTCTCTCTCCCTCTGGCGTGAGATGATGATCTACTGTGATCTACTTAAGTTCCTCTTGAAAAATAAATACACCATATCTTAGCCATGTCTTAATACTAAGCAACTTTTTGCCCAAGATATAAACTGGGCCCCTGAAGGATTTTCAACAATGCAGTATTCTGTTGCTTTTTCTGCTGCTAGAGGCGTTTTGTAAAGCAGTTTACGGCTGAGGGGCAGCTAGGCAGTGCTCTGACTCACCGGGGTTAGGAGTGTGCCCTTCACGTTTGTGTTTTGTAGTTGTGTAGGGGTTTTGTTGTCTGGGTGATCACATGTCGGGGTGTTTCTCATCTGTCTGGTCAGTGTGTCCTTCCATCCCCAGCAAGATCCCACTGATCCCTCCCTCACCAGGACCACGCGGTCTCACCATACCCATGTGAGTACCCTGGCGCCCCCTGCCTCCCGCCCCTGGCATTGCCCGGGTGATAGCATTCCAGGGGCTGCTGTCCTCCAGCCCCCCAAACACTCACAATTAAATCAGAAGAAAATTCTGCAATTGATATGATGGTGCATTTTAACCCCTCATCCTTACATGTTCTTTTTTAGCACTAACGGCAATGAATGATGAATATTTTATTTCTTTGATCTAATTTTGCAAAAGTAATTTTGAGCAAATAACCCATATTTGGGTTGAATTCAAGTAAGAATGCTTGAATAATTTTATACTCTGTATAAAGCTCTCGGATACTCTCAGAAACTCCGTATATAATCTCAGATAGTACTGGAAGTAAAAGCATACTGGTTAAAATTGCTACTTGTATTTTTACTCTTTAGCTATTTTACAAGTAACTTTTGTGTTAAAGCTAAGTGCGGAATTACTTTTGAGGTTAAAGTGTGTGGCTGTGTCAGTGTGTACGTTTGCAATACCCGATGAGACGTTGTGTTTTTCGTTCTTTTATCCTACTTTTCAGTGTGGAATTAACCTTTGCTTGTTCGTTAATACCTCCATGGACCACTATACATTAGATTTTGTGATGCCGTGGGACAAATTCAGTAGCATTTTTAAATTTTGTCTTCCAAACTTAATAAAACAAATGACAAATGTGAATGGGTCACAGGTTATGAATGTTAATGTCTTCTCTCCCTCTGATCTTTCACAGGATGAAGCCCCCAGTTCCCAGGGATAAGTCTGTACGTATCAGAAATCATAGCATTTTCTAGATACCTAACCATTTTTGGTGATGTGTTATGTCATAAGCTGACATCCCAGTTAGTTTATAGAGGGGTGTTAGAGGAGCAGAAAAACCCACTCGAATCCCTGGATCCCTGCTTGTGTCAGTACAGCATCTTTCCAGTTAGCGGTCACCCTCAAGGACAGAGCAGGCCCAATCTGAGTGTTTTCTTTAGGCGTTTAACACTGTTTCACTATTACTGATGTTTAGCTCGTAAACGTGGCTGACTTGAAAATGAAAGTGCATTGGGTCATGGCTATGCATGTAAAACCGTGGTAGCGCTGAATTTGTCGAAGATCCCTCATGAACATAGGCCAGAAAAGAAATGGAGCTGGTTTTGTAACTTTGCTGTAATCCTGGGGTCCTGATTACCTGTCACGAATGTTAATGTTGCGATTTGATATTTCTCCACTCCCTCGGCCTTATTTGTCCGTGTAGGGATTCTGTGACCTTGTCCCGGATGTGGTGTTTCTCATTGGATTATTTGCTTTAACTGTTCTAGAAAACATCAGCAAACTACCATTAAGAGTCTCTGTAAGCTAATTGATTGCCAGTGAGTTAGGGAAGAATCTGAGTGGAGTGCAGCCTTTAAGGCCTGGTACTGTCCCAAAAGGCTTTAGAGGATGATGCGATGGTCATACACTTCCTCTACACACTGCATGAAGCTCATTCATGCTTCTAGATTTTTTCTTCTAGAGCAAGAAAAGTAAGAAAACCAGAGACGTGGCAAAGATCAACGTGATCTTTCCAAACACACAGCAGAACCCTTCTTGGCCATAAGAATCAAGCCAAAGCAGTACAAACTGTACAGCAATGAATCCTTAAGCCTCCATGGCGAGATGTCTGGAAACTGCGTGAAAGGTGTTCATGTGCCAGTGGAGTGAAGGTATTTCTTCAAACTGTGGTGTCTGATCCACCTCCAAGCTTCCTGATCAGCGCTTCTTTGTCTTTTGCAGACGAAGGACTTCTCCTCTGATGGTAAGGCAGCTGCCTCCCTGTTATTTTCTCTTCTCTCACGTAGAGCATCCAGTCAGGGGCTGCCCAGTTGCAAAGTTAATTTTTAATCTTGTCAAGAAAAGGCCTGGGCTTGTCACCCTGCTACAATACTGGGGTCCTGATTACCTGACAGGAATGTTAATGTTGTTGACTTGAAATGTTTCCAGTTCTTTGGACTTTATTGGACCGGTGTATGGGCAGGCATTCTGTGACATTGCCACTGATGTGTTGTTCCTCTTTGGAAGATTTACTCAACCTAACTTTTCTAGAAGAACTGTTCTTGATTACCTGTCAATAATACCCCTAAAAATAAATTGTCCATTTTAAATGTCCTGGGAAATTTGGAATTGGCATTTTCTTTCTCCATACCCCCGTTCACCTTCCCTATTTGGAATCAGTTCATAATGAAGTCTGCCTTACCTCTCAATCTGTATCAGCAAGGCAGAGGTGGTGTGGGCAGTAGGACTGTTGGTTCTTGCCTCTGAGATGTGCAGTTGTAGTGGTCTGTTTCACTTCCTGGCTCCCACAGTGCCTGTAGAGGGCCACTAGCTTTCATTACAAGGCTGAAGCAGCTCTTACTGGTACCTGTTTAATCCCACAACTTCCTGGCATGCCCAAGGGCTCTGTGTTGCACAGTCTGCTCAGGAACCCCGAGCTGACTCAATCCCTTGCAACCACCCCACCTTGTGGTCACAAGCTGCCTGGACTGTACAGCTAAAACTGTGCTCTACTACTCAGAACCTCTTTAGAGCCCCCTAAAGTGCCAGTAACCAACTCTCATTTGAACAACAGTGGAAGTGCTGAAAATGAAAGGGCAAATGATAGACCACATTGCAAGAGATCATGAGACAATTGCTGGGGCACTCTGTTAACTTGTCCTATGTCTGGGACCCCAAAGTTAGGGAGATAGTCACTTCAGGCGACTCTTGGTGTTGTGAGACACAGAGATTAGTAATATACTAGCCTTGCTCCATAGGGATGTAATACCAAGGCGTCCTCTGCTGCAACTTAGCAAGTCCCTGGAAGTGCAGAATCTACTGCCTATAATTGCACTGCTGATGACAGTGAATGCACTGTGTAACACTGATAATTGTTGCCTGCCCATACACAGTAAAAAAATACACAGTAAAAATATCTGGGGGCTTTTTCTCTAGTAGGCTCTAGTAGGAATAGGAATGTCTCTGAGACTATTTGCTTATGAGGTTGGCCAAACTGATAGTCCGTTCTCTTTCTCTGCATCTGTGGTTTGTATAATAATGTCACAGTTCTTTTTAAGTGTGCCATTGCTAACCCCCACATACACAACCCCCTGGCAGGGACAGAGGGCAGGCGAACCTCTTTTCCAGGTAAGGTGCCACCACCAATGCCAGCAGCCAAGCCTCCCCTGCCCACTTCACTCAAGGAGCACAAGCCCAGGTAAGAAGTGTCGGCGGAGTTCGGCTGAGCCGAGCCCCGCTTGTTAAAATGTTCTTAATGGTCATGGTATCCGAGTGAGCGAAACACTAGAAGCCTGCCGCTGTAAGATACAGGGAAGGCCTTTCACACTGCCAGGCCCCACTGATCTTTTTCTGTTCATGATTTTAAAGAATCTGGTGCACGTAGCTGAGTGTGCGAAATATGTGTTCATTTCAAAAAACGTTCAAGGCCTGTCTTTTACCTGCATTTAACAAAGATGAGTAAAACTGGGTCACCTTGTGGTTTTGTCATTGAGTTAGCAGCAGATATAGGTCATGCACAGAGAGGTGCTTCAGAGTCTGATTTGTTTTCCGAACAAACTGGCTGAGGACAGGTAGTCTGGGAGAGAGGATTCGGGCAGTTTGGGTCGCCAGTTACTTGTCTACCTTTGTTACTCATGTCATTTCCGAGCTGCCAGTGGAGTGTCTGTATCACCTGCTGGCGGAATCGGTATGGACAGCGGTCTGCAGGTTTTCTCTGGCCACAAAGTGGGAATGGGGAGGAGGAATCGCACTGTGGCAGTGGAGGAGCATGGTGGTGGGGGAGTGTGGAAATGCTCAGCTACAGTGCACAGGCGTGGGAGCAGGAGAAGAGCTTTTCTGAAATTCAGTCTGTCTGTGTTCTGTGATTCACTGCAGCCCCTCTTCGCTCAGAGTGCCCAGGGACGGTCCGGGAGGTAAGAGTCACCACCGTGGGGTGGAAGGGAGTGGGACTCTGCTTGACATCGGCACTTCATATCACATCCTCTCGATTTTCCTGTTATTTCAGTTTTGATATTGTGTCGTATCCTGTTGCTTGTGTTCTGTGTGATGAGCATATTAACAGCTGGAGCTGACGCACTGGACTCTCAGCTGGCATGAGACAATGACCGGGAGGACACAGCTTCTAGTGCACGGGCACTTTTTGGAAATGATGTCATCGGAACGTTGGCATGCGCTCCCTAACTTGTTTGTTTCCTTTCCTCCCTCCAGTCAAGCAAATGGGGCTGAAGCTTTTCCTCCAGTCTGGGCCAGAGGTGGGTGTGTCTTGGATTCGGGGTTGAACTCTGACGAGTTCAGCCCGTCTTGATCCAGTGGCACTGAAACAGCACTCTCTGCTCCTCACGCCAATCAGAAATTAAATTCTTTACAAAAGGGGAGCTGCTGTGCTAAAAGATGTTAATTTGTGAGCGTGCCTTCACTCAGCCTTTTCCGAAACACTTTTTCCTAAATCAGCTGAAATAGTAGTGGGGGTAATTAAGTAATAATACCAGTAGTTGTTGTGGTAATAATATTAGTAGTAGATATGAGTTGGTTCTCATTGATGTTATTAGCTCAGGATGGAGAGCACCATCTAAAATCGGTTTTCAACATGGCCGCCATAATTTCCCAGGATGCCAGGCTGCAGGACAAGGACTGGTTTGCAGGAAACTGTGATCGCAAGGCAGCGGAGGCCGTCCTGCACGGAGTTGGCAAGGTGAGGAGTCCAAAATCCTGCCACCCCCCTTGGCACCCTGCTTTCACTGATATGTGGGGGTGCAGGTCTCTGTGTCTGCATGGCTATGGGCAGCACATGTCCTGACAATGTTAGCTCATTAGAGCGACTCGTCTGCTACTTGCTAGGGCTGCTAAGTATTATTGATACAGACACCTATCCTGGAAAGCCTGTGTGTGTGGGCCTGTTCTTACATTTCTGTGAGTGTAGTTGTGTCTCTGTATACTATATCAAAAGACAGATGTTAGGTAGTTATTGTCATAGTTGTCAGACCTGTCGTTTAAGACACATCAGCACCCTGGGTAGTGTCAGAGCTGGATGCGAGTGCTGATCTCTGTGTCTGGGTCTCAGGATGGGACGTTCCTGGTGCGCCTCAGCTCGGCTCAGGGGGCGCGGCAGCCATACACACTTGTGGTCCTGTACATGCAGAAGGTCTACAACATCCCCATCCGGTACCTGGAGGAGAGCCGCAGCTACGCACTGGGCAAGGAGGGCAAGAGGACTGAGGAGGTGAGCAGTGCTGGACTGGGGAGAGGGGGTAGAGTGGAGAAGACAGAGAGAAGAGGGCACAGGAGAGGGGAGAGCAGGGAGGGGAGGGGGGACAGGGGAGAAGGGAGAGGGAGGACATGGGATAGGGGAGAGCAGAGAGGGGAGAGGAGACAGGAGAGGTGAGAGGGGAGAAGAGAGGGGAGGGGGGACAGGAGAGGAGGAGAGGGAGGACATGGGATAGGGGAGAGCAGAGAGGGGAGAGGGGATAGGAGAGGGGAGGGAGGACAGGAGAGAGGAGACAGGAGGGGGCAGGAGAGGGGGAACAGGAGAGAGGGGACAGAAGAGTGGGGACAGGGGACAGGAGAGAAGAGATAATCAATATAATAATTCCTTGCATTTTTGTAGCACTTTTCTACTCAGGATCTCAAAACACTTTGTATAGATGATCATGCATAGATTATTCACTAGGGTAGGGGGCTCATCACATGATACTTCTGACATCCTGTCACTGTCTTTTTAAAGAGGCCCCCAGATATTTAAAAATGAGCAGGGAACATCTTTGGCTGTGGGTTGTTTTTTTCAGATTGGTCTGCTGGTTTAACCAATTGCAATGACTCTCCACCGGTAGGCGCTGTTTCCTCTTTTCAACATATGAGTGCAACTTGTTCAGCATCTGTAAAAGAAATCTGTTGAAGCAGTCCGAGGACCTGTACCAAGTTGTACTGAGTGAAGGTTCAGCTGTGATGGTCTTTATCAATATGTAACTGATGGGCAGCATGGTGAAGAAGTGGTTAGCATTGGTGGCTTGCAGTACTGGGGCCCAGGGTTCAATACCCTACCTAGGGTGCTGTCTGCGTGCAGTTTATATGTTCTTATGTTTGCGTGGGTTTTCTCCGGGTGCTCCAGTTTCCTCCCAGAGTCCAAAGACATACTGGTAAATGAATCGGCTTCTGGGAATACTGGCCCTGGTTGAGTGTGTTTGTGTCCGTCTGCCCTGTGATGGACTGCGCCGCGCTCGTTGTCAGCTGGGATAGACTCCGGCTCCCCCACGTTGATTGAAAGCGATGTCATCATGCTAGAAGATGCTTCTCCTGAAGATCTTCAACGAGAAATAGATGACAAAAATGTGTTTATGTCAGAAGACGGCAGCGCAGGTTTTTTTTTCTGGTAGTAGTTGATTTCAGGTTGAAAATGCTGTATGTAGCTATAATTATGAAAAAGCTGTCATCCTTTTTGGGCACTGGAAAAAGCTAGGTTTTGTGTAGATTCGGATTGGAAGAATTACATTAAAAATATGTATTTTGTAATATTGCAGCCTGCCATTCTGGGATTAATCAACACTCACTATTATCTAAGTTATCTATAAATGGTATCCAGTAAAAGCTTATTAATTCAATTCAGTTGCACAGCGTGGGTTCTGACAGGAGTGAGAGCAATGTTGCTATAATAAAGGGGTCCCCAGTCCTGGTCCTGGGCACTCACAAACCTGCTGAATAACTGAACCCTACAGTAGGTATGATTTGAACTCTTGAATTGTTTTCAGTTTATAAACATTCGGGAAGCTGCCTATTCTAAGCCATTATCCCTTTGGCTCAGTTAGGGATCCCTTTAAGTAAGAGTATGTGGGTACCCCTGCCAATGTAACTCAGGTTTGCCCGACCATCTAATTAATAATAATAATAATAATAATTAATAATTGCTTACACTTATATAGCGCTTTTCTGGACACTCCACTCAAAGCGCTTTACAGGTAATGGGGACTCCCCTCCACCACCAGTGTGCAGCCCCACCTGGATGATGCGACGGCAGCCATAGTGCGCCAGAACGCTCCCCACACACCAGCTATCAGTGGGGAGGAGAGCAGAGTAATGTAGCCAGTTCAGAGAGGGGGATTATCAGGAGGCCATGATTGGTAAGGGCCAATGGGAAATTTGGCCAGGACGCCGGGGTTACACCCCCTACTCTTTTCGAGAAACGCCCTGGGATTTTTAATGAACACAGAGAGTCAGGACCTGGGTTTTACGTCTCATCCAAAGGACGGCGCCTGTTTTACAGTATAGTGTCCCCATCACTATACTGGGGCATTAGGAGCCACATGGACCACAGGGTGAGCGCCCCCTGCTGGCCCCACTAACAACCTTAGTTTTTCCCAGGAGGTCTCCCATCCAGGTACTGACCAGGCTCACACCTGCTGAGCTTCAGTGGGTTGCTAGTTGTGAGTTGCAGAGTGATATGGCTGCTGGTTTAGGTATCTAGGGATCTGGTTCTCTCTTCCACTTCCTCTAGTTTGGGAGAACACTGTTGAGGTGGTACTGAGAACTGCAGTACAGTTTCCCCCTCTCTGTTCCTCCCTCAGGTCTTCGGCAGTCTCTCGGACATCATCACTCACCATGCAAGCAACCCCATCCTGCTGATCGACAGCAAGAGCCAGGCCAAACACACCACCTACCTCAGCCACCCTGCCCGCCCCTGACCTACCACCCCATTGACACCCCCTGTACAGCACGCAGGGTGGGCACAAGAAAACAGCAGCAGAATGAGTAACCCACCATTAACCTCCAGAAACACCCCAACACCTGCTCATCCCAGCCAGTGCTGTTCTCCCAGCGTGGTACAGGAGCAGCCCTGGAGCCTGCAGATCCAGCTGTGCTGCCTCTTGCCCGACAGCTGGACTCCCTGGTGAAATCAAGACCTGCAAATCACCTTCCTCTCACTAACGAGACCCACCCTCCCTGCACAGGGGAGCAGCCCGCACAGCTGGGGCTACATCTGGATGGGACCACCTGTGTCCCAGACGCAGGTTTTCTTCAGTCAACGGAGATGCACAAGAACGCCACCTGCAGGACATGGAGGAAACAGTCCCGAAAAGTCGATTCTAGGTTTCTGTCCGCTTCTCTCAGCACTTTTCCCTTCGTTCATATTAGCACCCGGAACCTAGCATAGAGGTTTGTTAATACTGTTCTGTATGTTTAAAATTAAATTGTAGAGTTTCTTTAATTCGATATTTATTTTAACTATGAGGTAAGGGAGCGAAACGTGTATAGATATATGCGTTTTTTTTATTTTGCATCGTACCTGAGGACGTTTCTTTTAAGAGAAATACCAAGTGTCAGCAACCGGCGTGCAGATGTTTCCACGAGATGTGCGCCAAACTCACACTACTGTGAAAAGTGAAGATCTACAGATCCGCCTTCAGATTTAATTACAAAATTTCTGTTCTTGAAAAATATTAATAAAACACAATTTTCATTACTTTTACAATTTTACTTGTTTTAAAACTTTGTAATCCAGCATAATATACATACTGCTGTACTATATTGCCAAAAATCACCCTTTTGAATTATGAGTAATTGCAATATTCTGTCGTTGTTGCCTTTTCTGTCACGTGACAGTGTGAAATATTCCAACTTCAGTATAGTGAGGCACTGGGGGGTTCCCCAGCTCACCAGGCAGTTTCCAAGGACTGGCATCACCTTTTGGGTATTGATGAATCAAGCAAGCGATCTGTTCAATTACAGAGAACTTGTTCTTGAGGGCTGTGTCCGCTGACCAGCGTCCTCTTCTCAGTCCTACTCCTAGTGGCTCTAATGCTCATTGGAGCCAAGGTCTTGACTTGAGCCACCTTAGCTGAACCAGTTTTTATATATTTATATGCAAAGGTTCCAGATCTTCTCTTACTTCAAAAGACAAGGCAACCTCCTCCATGTTTGCAACTGAGCTCAGAGTTCAATGTCCAATTTCAATTCTTTAAACGAGGGCTTGGGTAGAACATTCTGGGTCCCCAGCATGAGAATAGGGACCCCCATTTTAGGGTTTACTCCACAGTGATCTCTTACAAGACCCATGACCTGTTGATCACAATGGACCTGTGCATTTTAAGAAATTGATTAAATCAGACCTACAAAACTTGCTGGTCTGGAATTCCCTCCCAATCTCTGCAGAAGTAGGCGCTGTGCACACTTCCAGCAGGTGAATGAACAGACCATTGTTTTTATTTTGAGGATGTGCTCATCTCCGACAATCACGCCAAACATTTGATTACTGCAACTAGCCCTTCAGCTTGGGTTTGTGACCATCCACTAGAGGGATACTCCCAAAAGAAAGTCAGCATTTGAAAATGGGAGACCTAACCCCCAATTGCTTGCAAGCCCATTTTATAGAACAGCACCAGCAGCCCGATTAAACCCAGCAGAACAGGGAGGTAAGGCCCAGCTCAATCTCAGCACAGCTGGCACATAGGACTGTAGCATGCCTGACATACTGCAAGACCTGATCTTAAGCTGCATTGAAATACATTTAAATTGAACCCTAAACCCTTCAAGATTACTCTGAAGACACGGAAATGCTAATTAGATGAATAGCACAGAATTTCCACAAATGTCTTTCTGAAATCTGTGGATGGCACAAGTCTCTACCCAAATAAAGGCAATGATTTGAAGGTACCTTAGCCCAAGACTGTACCTAGCTGAAATTTGCAAAATCTATCCTGGGATAGTACCACAGTGTACTATTCTATATCTGTGCATTATGAGTAACAAGCAATGCTTCAGTGCAAAGTGACATGTAGATGCTTTGGTGCATTAGAGAAATTCTACACACTACATACAGTAAGCCTTTTGTCCCACTGTTCAAATTGAATATGGCTATGCTCAGACAATAAAAGGTTATGTTAATTCAAGTACAACTTACTTCCCCACAGTCAAGTGCAGCCCACTTCTAAATATTTTTTGATACTGGGAGGCTTCAGGAAGTAGTTGACCCACATTCTGTCAGTAATTATGCACAGCTACAGGTCCTGGGTGTAAGCTGGTTTCTAGAGCACACACACATGTAGCTGGACATACACATAGAATGCACATATGGGTTGTAGGCTGAAAGCAGCACCGCATCTGTCCTTGTAGAGTAATGCAAAGACCGAGGTCTTGAAGCCATAGCTCCCCTGTGCACCCTTGCCCACCTAGCATCACTGCATGCTGTGGATGCTCCCACTGCAAGACCTGCAGGCTGGAGAGATGACATCATCCAGCTGTACTTTTCCACACCTCCTCCCCCCAGTCTCCACTGCCTTCTAACCCGTTTTACTGCAGCAGATCACAGGTAGGATTCTGCATTTTAAAATTTCTGTTCAACTTGGATTTGAAAGGCATGTAATAAGCTTCACATCAAGGTCATATGATTTCCTGCAAAAGATCCCCAACGCAGATGGGGGCTCTCAGGATCATATTCTTTTAAACCCCATACACACACTTGTTTCCTCTTCTGCAATGCAGCAGGCTAGAGTCACATCAAGCTGCAATGAGCCCATTTTACTTGTGACCCAGAAACACCCCTCATCTACCCAGCACTCCCCTCCCCCTACACTAGCAGCTGCCAACAGCTCCGAGTCCAAAGACTGAGGGGGCAGCTACTGCTCTTCTGGCAGTTTGCAGGAATACTGACATACAGTAGCACTGCACACACCCAGATGAGGTATAATTGCAACAATGCTGCCTGCAAACCATGAGCCCCAGCATCTCGGTCCCCATCTCCTATTTAACAATTCTCATAATTGCACCCCTCAGGTAAAAAACAAACAAAAAAAGCCAGATTTATTCCATCCTTTGAGGAGTTCCCCCCCACAACTTTATTTTTAATCATTTATAAACAACTTTGTGTCCAGATGGACTTCTGAAAGAAAACAAAAAGGCGCCACAGAAAAGTAGCAATAATTGGAGATGCAGAGGAACAGAATGAGCAAGGGGTGGGGGGACCACTTCCATCTCCACGGTGACAGCGATGGGGGATGCAGAGGGATGGGACGGGATGG